AGTTTTTAAACCCCAAACCCTAAACCCTGAACCCCTAAACCCTAAACCCCTAAACCCTAAAGCCTGAACCCCTAAACCCTAAACCCCTAAAGCCCTAAACCCTAAACCCTTTGCAAAGCCCATTTTCATGATGAAGGACCTTTATGCGATCTGTTTTGAAACCGCTGGGCCCCTACGAAAAACAGCACCCTCACCTCCCAGGTTTAGGGTTTAGGGTTTAGGGATCCCGTAGGTGGACGATGAACTATCGACATTGAAAGCTGGTATGCGTGAGCTCAAAGCACCTATGCAGAGGCAACAGACGTCATCCACCCCATCCTGCTGAGAATGCACCAAACGGTTTAGGGTTTAGGGTAAAATGTGCAAAGGATCCGACGGACATGTCCATCTCTCATGTTCCTTCCACAGGACACGGCCACCTTAACTAGTTGCATTATAGTTTGGGAACACGATTCTAAGTGTCATAAGACCGCATATATCAAGCGTAAGCTGTTCGGGATTGTAAATCCCACTGGCGTTGACGAGTCAGCTGGACGGCTTGCTCCGATCACATAGTCTGAAGTCTTGCACTCTTACACCACCCAAACTCAAAATCCTAACTTACAGTGCCACTAACCTGAGCCCCAGCAACCTAACTATTAGGTACCCCGTCGTCCTATACCCTAAACTCCCTAAACCTTGAACCCCAACCTTATATTATATATATATATAGATTTATTTATTTATTTACTTATTTAATTATAGAATGTATGCGTATATATATATATACATACATACATAATGTATAAGCCTACGCGAAGTGCACAGCCAACCCCCCCCCCCCCCAAGCTCCGCAGTCAGCTTCAGGTTCCACATCGCCTGCAGCAGCGGGGAGCTCAAGGCAACCAAAGAGACAGACCTAAGGTAGGGTTTAGGTTTTGGGTTTACAGTTTGGGGAAGTTTCGGTTTTAGGGTTTAGGAGTTTGACTTGATAGGGTTTCAATCGTCTTGTTTGTAAGGCCTCTGTCGCAGCTTCATAGGGTTGCTGAGTCGGTTTAGGCCGTTCCGGGTTTCAAGGGGCTTTGGGTGTTTAGTGTTTTACCTGGAAGCCCTATGCGCCATAGAAGCCCATCGAACCCTTATACAGCCCTAAACCCTAAACCTCAAGCCACGGATGTAATATATATATATATATATAGAGAGAGAGAGAGAGAGAGACAGAGAGAGAGAGAGAGAGACAGAGAGAGAGAGAGAGGCCTAGATAATCAACGATATCGGTCCTTAGGGTTCCTTGTTATCACCATACTATAAAGAAGCCCAAGCTATTCCAATTATTAAGGCTCCTACATTAAGCCATGCTCCACAGCGAAGCATTTGGTGCCTTAAACTTTGTTTGAAGCCTCGACACTACATCAGGGCTTGTAGGTTTTAGGGTTCAGGGTTAAGGGCTTTCTAGCTGTCTACCATTCTTCTTGAAGATGTCTGCAAAGTGCGCAAGGTGCGTGGCAAGGTTTGTACAAGTGTTCTACATGGGTTGATGGTGTCACGGTTTACTTAAATCAGCAAGGGGATCGCTACATGTGGGTACAAGTGCGGCGGTCGGTGTACTTATTTTGTTTTTTGCGTTTAAGTGGGTTTACCTGCGTAGCGGAGTTCCCAAGCCGCCGAATTGGTGCCGATGCACAGATCGCACGCTGGCTGCTGACCCTCCGGGCGGAGGTGAACAAAACCTGCTCCGATGGCGGCTTGCCTGCAGTTTGCTTCGTTCTTTTTTTTCCTTCTTAGGGTTTAGGGTTTAGGGTTTAGGATATCTCCCCGAACCCCTAATTTAAAACCCTAAACCCAAACCTGCCAAATCCTTCCTGTCGTCGGCTCCCTTTCGGGACCCTAAACCCTAAACCCTAAACCCTACACCCTAAACCCTAAACCCTAAACCCTAAACCCTAAACCTTTGCCAGGTTGCGGTATGACCAAGCCATCCCTAGCCCCAGTTTACTGATTGGGTTTACAGGT